AAGACTGCACTTAACAATAATAAGACTAAGAGCAAGTTCTTCTTAGAGATGAGTCTAAGTGAGTCTGAGTGAGTACTAGTAATACTGTAGATATATCGAATATTAGACAAAAAATAAAAATATTATTAAAGATATTCTAGTTTAGAAAATTTCCAGGTAGAAGTGAGAAAATTATAACTAACCTGATGGTTTAATCGAAAGTATATTAAATCTAATGGAGAAGTATGTTTCCAAATCCATAATACTAAATCTGAAGATAAATTTGAAATATAAAAGTCGTGACCTGTCGTGAAAGCTAGTTTGAACTATTTTAATTTAACGCAGGGTATATTATCTACGGACTCAAATACTTCATAACCGATTTACGTGAAACTTTAAGCTAAATGTGTCACAACCCTAATATTCGCGCAAAGTGTAAAAGTCGTCTTCTTAGAAAAGATTTTAATTCAATCATGTAATATCATGTTCCCACCAAAAGTTTTAAGTGATTTGATTACATTTAATCTAGACTGTTCTCACTGTCGTTGGAGAATTATAAACTGCTGCTTTTGACTAGCCGATCGAAGCTGTGGCATTTTTTCATCGCCACAACTCTATTAGATTGGCTTCGGCAACCTCACTTCACATTATTTTCCTTTTTTATACCCTGAACAGGGTATATTAAGTTTGCCACAAAGTTTGTAACACCCAGAAGGAAACGTCGGAGACCTTATAAAATATATATATAAATGATCAGCATGATGAGTTGATTTGATTTAGCCATGTCCGTCCGTCTGACCGTCCGTCTGTATATATGCAAGCTAGTCCCTCAGTTTTTAAGCTATCGATCTGAAATATTGTACTTGTCCTTTTCTCACTTGCAGAAGCTGCTCATTTGTCGGAACGGCCGATATCGGACCACTATAGTATATAGCTGCCATACAAACTAAACAATCGGAAGCAAGTGCTTGTATGGGAAACTTGTTTATTTGACGTAATATCTTCACGAAATTTGCCATGAGTTATTTTCTAAAGTAACAATGTAATTCCCGAAGAAATTGCTTTGATCGATTGACTATAGCCTATGCTGCCATACAAACTGAACGATCGAAATCAAGTGCTTGTATGGAAAACTCTTTCATTTGACGAGGTATCTTGACGAATTTTGGCATGAGTTATTTTCTAAAGCAAGAATATAATCTCCGAAAAAAATATTTAGACCGGATCGCTATGTCATACTGCTATCATATAAACTGCACGATCAGCGTAAAGTGCCTGCTTCGGTGCAACAGAAGTTAACGTTTTTTTTGTTTGATACTATTTTCTACCATTTTCACTTATTTGATTAAGTGTCGGTCGGAACATGGTATAGGTCACAATAAAAACTTCGGATGAGTCTCAAAGGTGGGCACCACATGGACGGAGAATCCTTTAGCTTAACGTGAGATGGCGTCATAAACTAAAAATCCCTATGATTGCCTAGAATACTGACAAAGTTTGAAGACATCTCATCAAATCGTTCTCAAATTTTTGGTCTCAAAGTGAAGATTGTGGCCCTTTGAACCTTGAAACATTTTACTATATGTATGTATACTTGCAATATCCAACTTTATCCTGTATACTTATGTTACCAACAAAATAATTATTATTGATTTCTGAATATTCATCATATTTCATTGACATACAGAATTACCTATTGTACATATACCCAATGACCCGAGTTATTTACTTCCCACACATGTTGTCTTTATAATATGAAATATCTGTTCTGTCGATTGGACATATTGCCTGGCTACCCCTATCATCGTTATAACACGAGCTAACTACCCCATTCTTAGGTTATATTTACCTTTACTACGCAGTATCATCGATTATTCCTCCATAAAATTCATTTCATTTGCGTTTTTCTGCTCTCTTTGTTTATTTACCTGTTTCGAATGTCTTGCGTTTGTTTACGAAGAAAGTTTTTCCTATTGTAACAGGCGGTTATTATACCCGAGCTAATGGTGGCATATATGTATGTATAAAGGGTACTTACAAACTAAGGTTTAATTTTACATTATAATTTTATGTTTTAAATCATTATAGTTACAAATTTATCCAGTCAATAATACATTTCCGAGGCATAGAAGTATTCCCTTTCATTCTTATGTTTTTACACGTCATAAACTATATGAATTCTCTTTTTTTTTACTTAAACACCAAAATTAATTTTGAAATACCCTGTATAAAGCATGATAGGCACTTAATTGAAGTTAATAGTTCTGTGGTTTAACGGATGCGTCACTAGAAGTTCAATATCAAATATAAATACATATGACACATGTTTTTACATCTATATCTCTTGAAAACATGTGCGATATTTATGAAAAATTTATGCGGCCTATAGATTAATTTTCTATACCAATTCGAAATGGGATGGCGGATATTTAAAATTTTAATGCTTGTAAGCTTGCCATCATTACTATTGAAATGGTTATGTAGATTAGTTGAGGTAGTTTTTTGGACAGGTGTGCCATAACCTGCACCAACTGTCGTCAAATCGGTCACGAAAAATAGCAGTGCGGGTTATTTCATGCGTGTTATAGCATTGAAGCATATGATCTGCACAGTGTTTGGCCCTTAACAACGTGTCGTTACATTTTTAAATTTTTACAAAGGCTCGAGAAAATGGATAGACACCCACCATATATTCGTCGTCGTAACATACGCTTCTGATAGTTCAAAATATGTTGCCTTAATTTGGTATCGTACCAAATCATAAGGAAACATAATCTTTAAATTACCATTAATATCGATAATAATGGCAGTCTCAAAATCGAACGTGAAAGTAACGAATTTCATTTACTTTTCAGCTACAAAGGCATGTCAGCCGACTGGACTAAAAGCCTTCTATGTGAAACATATTGGACTTAATAGAAGCTTATCACCGTGCCTCGTTTAGCCAAACGAAAAACGATTGGTCATGTTGAGCACATCAAAAAGTGAAGAATAGGGTCTACAGACGAGAGACGAGACTACGAAGTTTGCTTTATTGTTAGGTTTTTAAGTTGAAGGTTAGACAATAATATAGAATATTTTGAGAAGGTCAGCGGCTGAGTTTGCACGGCATGTGCATTACTAACTGATTATAACCACGTTCAAGGTTCTATACAATTTCTGAGAAAGTGAAATATTCAATATATTATATATATATTTTTTTTTTAATGACCATCTGATTTCTCTTATAACATTATGAAGCTTCGTTATTGAGACAATAAGGATTATGGTTACGTGTATTCTGTAAAAAATATTTTATTCGAAATATTAGCTGGAAATATAGTTATAAAAATTACAGATGAAAAAAAATCGGAAACCTTTCGAAAATATTAACTTGAATTAAATTTCGGACAAAATTTTAATAAATTGATATACGTACATAGATATATACATACATATATATTATTTCCACTCAAAAAAATGTCTCGCAATCGAAATGAATTGATGGCCTTATTTGGATTTTTTTTGTTTCGAAAGAACTTTTTTAATGCTAAATGAACCAGGAATTTCAACATTGTGTTCTCAAACAGAATTGGAACAAAGAATAAACTTATTGCGAAACCCAATTATTTCCTATTCCGAAAATTTTAATCGAATTAAAATACAAAACAGTTCTGCCAAATATATTTCGAAAATTTAACTTTTTTACCCCCCTTTTTGCTGAGGACTTTTCTTAGTCTGCTTATATATAGTACTCTCCGTATATATTATTTATACATATGTCTCGTACATAAACTTTTGAAACACTATCAGTTCCATGACACTTCAGGCGCACATTTCCAGTGACACGAGTCACAACACTTTATCAGTGAACCCCCACGAACACACAACGCCTTGCATAGCCGATGAAGCAGCAACCAAAATAATTCCCCACCCATGAGCGTGCGAAAGACAGGTGTAGCGCCACCGAAAGGCTATCAAAATATATATATGGTAACATATATAATTTTAACTGCACCTACAACACTTCACAAGAGACACGGGGCATTATACGATAAGCACAAGCAGGTGCTTGGGAGAATACTATAAGTACAAGCTTACACATTTATATACGTCATATGTATATGTAGGTATAGTGTTGTATATAATATTCGTCAATCGAGCATGTCATTCGTGTCGTTTGGCCTTGAACTTTTCGTTTATACTCGTTGATATGTACGTTTTACTAATAATTTTTGCTTTTCTTTTCATTATAGTTTTTCGCTCGGCGGTTTTGTGGTTTTATAGCTTTCGCTTTTCCCAGAAGGTAAATGTGCCGCATAAAAAATTATGAATTCTGATATTCTAGAATTTGTTTATTTGTTTACCGCAACGCCACACTGTCCAGTGCTATTCAAACTACTACAATTTTTGCTGCGTCAATAGGGTTTTACTTTCTAATGCTAGATAATCTAGTAGAGCAACTATATATACATATGTATACATATATATATACACTATATATTCTGTTCATTACTGATAGACATTCGAGCGTTAAGTTCAAGGTGTGTCGAGCACATTAGCTTATTGACTCCTGTCTACAATGTTTCTACGCAGCTAACGCCCTCTACGCAGCGTAATTAACATAGTGGCCTCGGTAGAGGTTAGTTAAATTTTCTTTTAGTCACTTGCTTACAAATGCCTATACTCCTATTTACATGCCGTATGCAAACGGTTGGCTTATCTGTTGAAAAGCTCAAGACACTAAGGAAGTCAATAGTCAATGACTTCGGTTTTCAATGCTAGATAAACTAAGTAACACGCTTCCCTTACACTAAACATTTTAACCGACATAGTACATTTAACTGAGAAATTATTTTTATATCTATTATTAATTTCATAATTAAATGAACTTTGTCGGAGGAAATGTTTGGGGAAAGAGATACCCAGTTTCGGTTCGGGAAAGAGATATCTAAACTAGCTATCTCCATCTCTAAAAATTTTCTTCGACAAAGTTTATTTAACTGTGATATTATTTTTATTTTTTCAACGTTTGTACTCACCTCGATTTTCATGGAATAGTCTTCGATGAGTTTCTCATGCTGTTTCACCAATTCTTCATTCTTCTCCAATAGCGCTTTACCCAATTCGGCGGCTAGTAATATATCCGATTCTTTTTGTTGTAGCTGTGCCCATACATCAACTTCGGATTGTTGACGATCTAATGCTTTGGTACGTGCCTCCATTGCGGTTATATAATCCTCTAAATTAATGGAACCAATACTTGAATTATGTAAAATGTTCGTTGATGAGGATGGCGACGACGACGACGACAACGACGACGACAACGACATTGACGACGACGGCGACGACGACGACATCAACGTGGTTTGTGGCTTATGCTTTATAGCCGATGCAGAGTGCAAACCGTTGTGATAATGATGGTGCATCGCTGGATCATCACGATCGCGCTCAGCATATAAAGATCTACGATTTAGCCAAGGTTTATGCATATTTAACCCAAGCGCGCATTTTGTACACGTCGATTTTTATTTATTTTTTCACAAATCACACCAAATAATTTTAAGTACTTAGTTTCTTATATGTTTAGTATTACTCATATGTTTGATAAATGATGGTTTGAAGCTTTTGCGAGTTAGACGTAATTTTCTCTCCTTTTTGTTTGGTTATTTATGTTTTAAAATGCGAGTAGATGCCTTAAATGAAGTAATATTTATATATACATATATGAGTAAAATGTTAGTTTTTTTTAATTACAGTACACGGATTATGGCGAAATAACGCTGGCAGATCTTATATACAAAGTATAATGGATGTGTATGTGTGCATTGTGTGAAATAGATTAGTCCAACACCATTTGAGATATAAGATATACAAGTAAAAGCATCTCTATCGTTTACAAGATTCTTTTAATGACATCAAAGAAATTCTTTTAACAAATCACCATTCAGCTGACTGCAGGGAGTTAAGGGCTAATAAAAACTCACTATCAGATTTGAAAACCATTTCAACGTCAATTGAGTCTACAATATCGGAACGGACTGGGAATTTTAACCGACTAAGTACCGGCAGCATTCCCGAAAATTTTGATCAAAACCAAGCAAAAATAAGAAGACTAATTTGTGTTAGATAACCTCCATCTGACCGTAATACATTTTATATCCGATCAAAGTGAAAAGCGTTGTAGTGTGTCTCAATTTTGAAAGCGGTAAGAGTAGCCTTGTTCAACTTGGACAACTAAATATACGTGATGCCAGAAAATCCGTGACATTGGATTTTATATATAGACAAAGTGCTTTGAACCCATCAGAAATCCGACTAGCTTTAAGATAGAATTAATCTCTAAGAAATTAACAAAAAATGTCGTTCCAGCTGATGCCGAGCTTGCAACTCTGCTATAAAAGTATTCAACATGGTGACAATGGAAGGGCCATATCTCCTTTACTTCAAAGATATTAAGAGAGTTTGGAGTTTTGGGCAACGTGGGGAATGAACAAAAAACTGCCGCACTATGATTTTATTTTTACTTCCGCCCACTCAGTTCTATCTCAACTTCTTCCATGTAGCTTACACAATTAGCATCCGATAAGATTTTTAACCTTACCGGCTTGATTCCAAAAAAGCATTGACCAGTTAGAATCCCTACAATAAGTTAAAGACTAATCGCTGGTTGTTGATCTTGTGACCGCGCAAGTAAGAATGGTTGCCCACCGTTCGAACAAGGTCCTGCGAGTCACAGTTATGCAGTAATAAAACGCAAGAAGACGGAGCTCAAACACATTGCTATCTATTGAGATGGATGTGCCTTTCCTTGCCAACTCATCAGCCTTATAGTTGCTGGGATTTCGCTGTGGCCTGATACCTAAAGTTAGGGTTTAAATAACAAGGTTTGAGCGAACATTCAGGACAAGACTTCGATTTTATCTAAACTACATTTAACTTAGTTGCCCGTTTCCACGGAATCCGATTTAACGTAAATGGAATGAACCGGACTTTATATCGGGCCAAAACCTGTTAGCTCAGTTGCATTCTCAAAAAACGTTAATCCACACCGACAACAACTGCAACAAGTTTAAAATTGAAGTAAAAATCCCTGTCAACTACAATATACAGTACACAGAACGACCGAACGCATTGGAACGAGGGCAATAAGAAGGAGACGAAGCCGAAACATGAAAAGTGCAGCAAGCAAATGGGGGACAGCCAACACACTGCAGGCGTATCCATCTTGTTTTCATCATGTTTCGGGGCAGCTAAGGTCACATAGATATTTTGTGTCAGTGCAGTTGATTTCTACTTTTTATTTCAGGCTTCTCCCTCTTTCTCTTTAATATTTTTGTTGGTTTGGGTTAAGCAAATTCACTAACTGTCTTTTGTGCAAGCAAAATGCTTTATGTAGCTAAACCACCCATGAACCGTTTATCTACAATGTTGGCACACAGCGCTTAGTTCCACTTGGTGGTAATACCTCCCCTTTCCCCCCCAAAAGCTATGCAGCAGTGTTTCCTTGCAGTCGAAGTGCATATGTTTACACTTTATTTTCTTCCTTCACATTTGTTATATATTTACATATGTATGTATGTATGTCACTAATTTTGTGTGTATATGTTTTTAAATGTATGCGTAAATAAGTGTGTATGTGTTTGGTTGTATTGCTTTGGTGCAATTGCAGTGAAGGTCAGCGCACGTTAAGCGGCTTTTACCTCAACGGTATTCATATGCAATTGCAAACACAAACACACACATACACGCACATACGTGCATGCTTACGTCAATGTGGAAAAGTTTTGGTGTCACTTTGAATTACTTTGCCGTTGCATTTACTATGGATTTGTAATTTTACAAAGCGGCTCGGTGTCGCTTCCCATTTCGGCATGGCTGACGGTGTATATGTGTGTGTAGCAAAGCTTATGCCACATTAAAGATGAGCAGAAGGTGGAAAAAAGTTGCAAAAACAAGGGAGTTAATTATTTGGTAGTAAGAGAGAGATGTATATCTATGTATATATATATGTACATATCTACATACATATGTTTATATGAAATAAGTATGTGTATTGGTGTTGTCGTTTTACTTTATACCATAAGTTCCTACAATTTTGTTAAAGTTGTTGTTGTTTCGTGTAGTTGCACACATAAAATATAATATATATTTTAATAACATTTCTTTTTAAAGTAAATGTAATGTGTCGACATGAACTTTATTTATGGATGTGACTGCAGGCAAAGTTAGTAGAGCACATACAACACACACATGCACACAAATATATACAAATGCATACGCACACACGCGTACGTGCCATTCATTCATGCAAAATCAACACGCACAAAAGCCACTTGGGGGCGTTCTTGTACCAGCTATCTGTTTTTGTTTTTGTAATTTAATTTTTTATTTTTGTAATTCTCCTGAACGCAACTACTTAAATAATGCTAAGTAATCTTCGTGCATAATTTTGAAATTTTTTCGTTATACTTTTTTTTAATGTAGTGTTCTACTGCCTTATCTTTATGATCTTCAAGCGGCAACCTCACTGTTATCTATGTGTTTGTGCATGTATGCTCGCTTTTCTAACTACTGTGCATCTGTTAGTGCGTCTGCCGCCCCCACGTTGTGCCAGGGCACCGCTATGTTTCACGCGCTGTTGAATTCACTCGTTGCGCGGGGTTAAATTTACTTTTTTTTTAATTTTTATATGTTTTAAAAACTTTGTATATATATTTTTAGTAATTTATAATTGTTCTTATTAGATTTTGCTATTTAACTTCGTATTTTGTTTTGTCACTGCATTTTAAGTCATCTGCATTTTTGGTTTTAGCAAGCTAGTGCAAAGCTGGTAATGTGTGTGATTTTTTTGTTTTTTGAAATTTAGTATGGCCACTTGTTAATACGTGAACAGAGTTCAATGGCAGAAAGAGTAAAAAGCTAAAGTTTTCTATTTTTTAGTTTCAAAATTTAAGGTATTCAATTTATATTTAAGCCAGTTTATATGCTTTCACATAACTAAATTTTAGCTCTAATTTTATTATTAATACTGTTTATAAAATATTTAAATAAAATAAACAAACGTTTTTTTAAGTATGCTTCAAATCTTTCACGGCTCTATTAAATAGTTGTATAGACTACTGCATTGCAATCTCATTAGTCTAATTTTATGACATTTGATTAACAGAAACAAATTATTTGGTACTCAGATATATAGATTACAACGGACTCTTAAGCAGTTAACGGTGCCACGAAGCTAGCCCTGGTTTCGACTAGCATCACTAGTTTTAACTAATTGCGAGCATATCTCTCGATATATTTTTTAGCAAATTTTTCCACGGGAAAGCTTTTATTTATATTCAAAACCTATTTAGCGTTACTTTAAAACTTAATTGTATTTTGTTTATAAGTTCACTTACACTTCATAGGTTTGAGCACCCATCTTCGCCAGCTAAGACCATCTAATGTAATTTTTTTATGAAATTATTTTGGTTGAATAAAAAAATCTATTTTGTAATTTTGGAATTTGTCTCATTATGAACCCATGGTCCAGGGACTGAGTAAAACACACTTAACTTGCTTGACTAAGATGGCCACTTTATGTTATATTAAATATAAAATTTGAACAATTCATTTGAAAATACGCCTATTTGAGGGTACAATTGGCACAATATGGGTTCAGGGTTTAGAGATTACACTTTCAGCAACAGCCAAATATATTGCTCCATCGCTTGGAAGCAAGAGTTTTAACTAAATTGTCCACTGGCAGATCAGATGAAGACACAATTCACTACAAATATACGACTTTTTAACTTTTTTTGCGTATGTCTTATTGACTTTCAGAAATATATGCATGTAACGTATGTGTACGAGTATAATGCCATAAAAAGATAGTTGAAAGGCTTTTAGAATTATTCTCCGTCAAGATATCCACTTTTCTCAATCTTTCCAGAAGAGCAGGTTAAAGAAGATGCACAACATTATAAGTGATGTTGTTGATGGGCTATGTTAAAAGAAGAAAAAACAAGGAAAGACGTTAACTTTGGCTGCGCCTAGCTATAGTACCATTCACATATACGTTTTTTGTGGCATAAAAGGGTATAAAAATATCTTTATCTTGATTTTGATCGGCAAATTTGTGTGCCAGCTATATGCTGTAGTAGTCCGATCTGAGCAATATGTTCGCAGATTGTACCCTTAGGCAATAATCTACGCCGATTTTTAAGAAATTATTCGATTGTAATAGGATGACAAAAATTCTAAAACTTCACTTTTTTACTAATAAGTAGCTAAATTATCATCACTATTTACTATCTTTACCTGTATATATTTTGTTATTATTGTAAAGCAGTCCATTTGTGTCAAACTAATTTTCTTTAATAACTTTATAATCAGTAATAATGAAATAATTTTCTTAACATCTTAATAACTTTCATTTTCACTCTTAATATTTTTTTTCTTTTTCATTTAAGTATTTTAACATATTGTTTGAATTATAGTATTTTTTTTTTCTTTTAACTATTATTACTTGTTTGTATATCTTCATATATTTTTACCACATCTTTTTAACATTATTAGCAAAATTATTTTAGTTTCACATTTGAATAATATAATATTATATTTGTTATCGCTGTTTTTTTCGTGCACAACTAAATATCGTTTGCAGTTTATTCGATTTCCAAACACACACTCACACACACATGCATAGCCGTATATTTATTTGTAGTAGTATTAAGTACGTGTCACTCGCGGAAATTCTGCATTACTGCTTCGGCGACAACAACATTTATTGACAAAACAAAATCGAAGTCAAAACGCTGTTCTGCCCCGCCAACATCAGAGACAGCGATAAAAAGCGAAAAACCAAAAAACAAAACAATCGTTGATTATGCAGTGACATGCACTCTTTCTGCTGCTTACTTTTCACTGAACTGCTATATTGTGGTTGTTGTTGTTTTTGTTGCTGATTTTCACCTTTTTGCCAAATCACAGACACTGCTCACCTACACTGTACGTCTTCGCCGTTTAACTAACGCGCTACTCAATTTAGCCCTTAATGAAGCCTTCAATTTAACGCCCGATTCGACGTCTGGTCGAGATTATTGAAGCAAAAGACAACTGCCGTTGAACTAGTCACGGATCCGTAAAGAACTGCCGACGGTGTCAAGAATGGTAACGAATGTTGTTTTTTTATTTCTGATTGCTTTTACTATTGTTATTATTAGTGGTTTTGTTGTGGTTTCAGTCACAACGTTTTCAAATTTTTATCCGCCAGCACCAAAGCAACAACTCAACGCGAATGTTCGATATTAACTGAAATGGCAAAGCGCCGAGACCAAAACACAGCCAAAACACGCATACAAACACACACATACAGTTAGAGAGTGAGTAACCAAGTCAACCGTTGCGTTTTGGCTGAAAGTGTTCTACAAAACTACCAACAACAAACACAACGCAACTGTCATAAACACTCACATACGCAGTTATCTCTTACCAACAATTTTACCAACTGAGTAAACAATAAAGCACCACAGAGTTAGCACTTCTGCTGGTGCCTTACTAAAGTTTCACTAAATTGTCTGGTAAGCTGCGGCCCAAACAAAGTGCGAGAATCTCATGTTTGCTCAAAGAGCATAGAAAAGAGAGCAGCAATTGTTTTGGCCAAGCACAGGTGAGTTGATTGGTTGAGATAAATTTAGGTTCCACAAAACGTGGTAAAAGAGCTTTACTCGTATTTAGTAGTTACAGTGAGAAATTGCAAAGTCGAAGAGCAACACAAATTGGAAACAGAGTTATTAGCAATAAAGTGCATTAAACTATAATATAAAAAGTCAGAAGAGTTTAACAGTGTATAGTTTTGGATCAGATGATATACAAATTTAATATTTTTGTCAATGTTCTTCAATAAAAGAACAGAAAACTTTTTCTTCATTTAAAGGCAGAGTAAAATGAAATATTTGAAAAGCCCATAACAAAAAAGTGTCGTATCTCTTCTAAACTCAGTAAGTATATTTCTTAGTACATGTTTTAGTTATTGTTTGATATATCTATCGTAAAGTAAAATTGAAATTCACAAAGAGAGCGGCTTATATGTTTTATTAAGAACGATAACAAACCTTTTGGTGTAAAGCTTTAAAGTACTTTCATTCACTGATTAATTTGTAAAATGATTCAACAGATTCACTTTAAAGGAATAAAGACCACTTTGAACCGATTTCGCTTGTCATGAGGTCTCATTTCACCTCTTATCAGAGAAGTTATATTTGTGTCGGTATCTCTCTCATTGCTTCAGTTATCCTTTGCCAAGACAAATAAGTTGATTAAATTCTAAATTGCAAAAGTAGATGGGATTGTTAAAAAAAATATTGTGAATTCAAAATTTATTAGGGATTAATAAAATGAATATTGGGATATGAAACTACACGCTCAAGTGGGTGTTTCTAAAATTTATCTTAGGTGAATAAATAAACAAAAATGTAACGCCGGGGTCAAGATTGGACGATTTACTTGGCACCATACACATTTAGGAGAAATCACATATCTCCGGATCTACTCGACCACTTTCAACCAAATTCTGTGCATAACATTATATTGACAATCCTATGTTTTATTGTGAAAATGGATGCGATCGGACTACAACCACGCCTACTACCCATTTAGCACAAATTTCAATTTCATCTGATTCTTTCGGATATTCGGATAAAACTTTGCACAAATAGTGCCTTTGAGGTATGCCATCTCGAGTCTAAAAATTGTCAAAAGCAGTCCATAACTGTTCAAGCCCCTATGTACCGAATATGTGAACCCCCGTGCTTTTTGCCGAAAATATCTTTCAATCTGTGAGATATGTTATTTAAATTCGAGGAAAATGTTCATTTGATAATAGTAAACTCTTGTGTCAAAAATATATCAACCAAGGTGTGAGTTATTTTAATAAAATTGAGGGAACTTCTTTTTCTAATAAGAGTGTATCCTAAAATGGATAGAATCGGGCGAAAGTTTGCTTTAGCCCCCATATAAGTGATATTCAAGATTTTTGTACGTTCGGCTGATTTTACTCCATATATAGATATGATTATATTTATATATATATAAAATAAATTCTTAAGTATACCTGAACAACGTCAAAGATTAATGCAATCAACCCATCAATCCATTTCTCTGCCCCTAATATACCCTATATAATGGAAAAGTGGAAATCCATCTGGCTGTAAACCGTTTAGGTTAGTCAAAATGATATTTAAATGAAATTAAGTAGACATATTTTCTTAAAAGTTGTAAAATTATATTAAAAGTTTACGTGTTCCACATAAACTCAGTACCATATATTCAGTTTAGTCCCTTCGGTTGAGTTTATATCACATACTATAGAATTCATTTGAAGATAATTTTAGTATAATTTTCTCTAAAGGGAAGTAAAATGTATTAATTAAACTAACATGGGTACATGACCTTTAATACAAGTCAATAAGGTACCAAATCGGATTGTTATCCATTCACGATTTCATCGAACAATGAAATTTGAATTTTTTCGCAATATTTAAATATAAAAATATTTATTTTAAATAAAGTGTTGTCAACACCTGAAGATATTTCGCCGGCTTTGATATTGCCAAATTGCAAAAGTATAAAATGTTCGGGTACGCCCGAAGTTAGCACTTCCTTACTTGTTATACTCTCGCAACCTGTTGCTACAGAGTATAATAGTTTTGTTCACCTAAAACTAATCGAGTTAGATATAGGGTTATACTTGTATATATATAAATGATCAGGATGAAGAGACGAGTTGAAATCCGTGTGATTGTCTGTCCGTCCGTCCGTCCGTCTGTGAAAGCTCTAACTTGAGTAAAAATTGAGATATATTTATGAAACTTGGTAGACATGTTTCTTGGTACCGTGAGACGGTTGGTATTGCAGATGGGCGTAATCGGACCACTGCCACGCCCACAAAACGCCATTAATCAAAAACAAATAAATTGCCATAACTAAGCTCCGAAATAAGATACAAGACTGTTATTTGGCACAAAGGATCACATTAGGGCAACTGCAGTTTAAAAAAATTTTTTAAAGTGGGCATGGTCCCGCTCCTAACAGGTTTAATGTGCATATCTCCTAAACCGCTAATGCTATAATAACAAAATTCACTGGAAGCAAATGTTTTTAGAACTTCTACCTACGGTGTGAAAACGGGTGAAATCGGGTGGCAACTCCACCCACTCCCCATATAACGGTACTGTTAAAAAATACTAAAAGTGCGATAAACCAAGCACTAAACACGCCAGAGACATTAAATTTTATCTCTGTAATGGTATGAGATGACTTTATAGAAACCGCGTTCAAAATTAATCGGTGGGCGTGGCACCGCCCACTTTTAGGTGAAAACCCATATCTTGAGATCCGCTTAACCGATTTCAACCAAATTCGGTGCATAACGTTCTTTTCATATTTCTATGTTATAGTGCGAAAATGAGCGAAATCGAACTACAATCACGCCTATTTCCCATATAACACCATATTCAATTCCATCTGATTCTTTCACTTTCCACTATGCATATCAAGCAACAATGATTATATCGGGGTAAAACTTTGCGGGAATAATACGTTTAAAGTATGCCACCTTGTGACCAAAAATCGTTTAAATCGAACCAAAACTGTTCAAGTCCCTAAGTACTAAATATGTGGACCCCAGTGCCTATAGTTGACCTTCTACCGAAAATGTCGGTCAATCCACAAAGAAATCTTAAACGAGTATACCATTTGCTTTGCGAGAGTATAGAATGTTCGGTTACATCCGAACTTAGCCCTTCCTTATTTGTTTTTTATTGTATTCTTACAAATTAATTCTGAAAGGTATATATCTCTTTCTTATATTTTATTCATTTATTATACCCTACTCAATCCCAACCACGGTGCAAACAGTGCAACTGTCATTCATCTCAATTCAATAAACTGCATTTGTCGCTTATTCACTAGTGACATGTTGCTGCCTTTGCTGGTCATTGGCCAGTGAAATTTAATGCCAAAACTTACACTCACACCCTAATGCCCTTCTTCCACAGCCGCATAACTCAATTACACTCATCTTTCTGGCCAAACGTGAATTTCCACGCTTGATTGACCCTATTCTTACAACGTGCAGAGTGGACCCAGTTCCACTACAAGTATTATACCTTTGTTTACTTTGCCATTTACCGACTTTACTTAAAGCAACATTTATTCCCGCATCCGTGCTTTCGTATTGCAGTGTTCAGCCGATGGTCAATTAATAGCATACTCTCTGGATCTCTCACTTGACTTAGTGGACTGCATCACTCTCGCTCTCTAAATCACGGCGCATCGGAGGTTTTCGCACTTCAGAATAACACATATTTGTACATATGTAGTATGTATTTATCTCTGCTCGGCGCTCTCTCTTCCCGACCGTGTTCTGCATAATTGAGTAGTGACTGCACTTTTAATTAACCGAAAACAAGATTTTCATTGGCCATAATACAATTAACTCAACCATTTGCTTGATATTGCTGGATAATCTGAGGGTGCCCTGTGTATGTAAACATGCCTTTGCCACTTGTGTTGTTGTTAGCAACCAGTCTAAAGTTTTGCTAATTGTGTGTTAATGTGTCGCTGTTGCACTTGTGGTTTGGCCCACATTTAATTTCTGGAAGAACTTTTATAACGCTTTGAAATTCTCGTAACGCCGGAATTCGCTGAAACTAAACGCTTTCCCACAGCGCGCTCTTTAAGTGGCACACCAACAATTGAGCGGTTAGAATGAAGTACATTTTTGATTGCCAAATAATAGAATACTACATGAACACAAATACTTAGGTACGAGGCAGGTCCAATAAGTACTTTGATTACAAAAAAAAGAAAATTTCTTTTAGCTGCCTACACTCGCCTCAACGATGTCTTTAGCCCGTCTAGAAAAAGCGTTTTCTTGAGGTCTGCAAAGACAGTCTTAACTAGCTCGCGCAGGTTCAATCGGCAATTTGTCAATACGAGACTGTTTATTTTTGTCCCGTTATCCTCCTTGGTAGTCATTTTCAAGTTGTCTAGGTGAACTGAAGACGGTCATGTTAAACCTTGTTTTACAGTAGCTGTCGAAAGAAAAGTGTAACCATATTCAACTTCTTCATAAGTGATCATTGCTTTTCTATTTTTCGAAAATCAGCTGAAGTGAACGCGTCCCTCGCGTTTAAAACAAATTTATGGATCCGACTTGGCTGAAATTTTAACAAAATTCGTCTACGAGAATGCACTACATATAGTAAACTACTTTTACAATGGTAGCGCAATATGGCGGTGAGGCATGCACTTATCAGAATGCTCTCGTATTTGTTCTCGTAGGTATATATGAATTCATACAAGTATGTAAATACATTTATAGCACCCGTTCAGCGCTCGTTGTTTGTTTGCCTTTTCTTGTGTTTCTTGTGTGGCATCAACCAAGCCTAGTCGCAATGACACCGGCTCTATTGTTGTTGTTGTTGCCTACAGCTGTCGATTCAATTCGAAATTCCCACGCCCAGTTGGTTTATTGTGCCACTGCGTCCATTTCGCTATAAAATGCACACACATCCACACATATGTATGTATATTGTTGTTGTTGCAACTACATATGTCAAATACATTAAAATGCATGCGGCTTTTACACTGTTATTACTGTTGCTCTGATTTTTTGTTGTTGCCAAATTGACCTTACACTGCGGAGTTGCGTCGCACAGGGTCAGATTTTTGCCACATTTCTATGGTCGTAGCTTGCGCAGTGTGACGGTTGGAGGGTGGGCGGTCGTTGTGACGGGTTGTGTTGCAATTGTTGGGGGCTGGTTTATTATGTTTTGTCTTTACTTCTGTTGCTGCTATTTATTATTTCTGAAGCTTATGTGTGCCAATGCGACTTTTTGTTTGCCAGAGCCAATTGTAATGGGTTTTGCTGTGGTAAAATGTGTCGTGCCGTTTGTTTTTAATCTCATTGACACAATAGTGGTGGCGTTTGAATGCCAGCGACTGCATAGTTACTCCATTTGTTGTTTCTGTTTTCCTAATTTATTAGCAATTTATATGCATTATATTCCCTTCGTTTGACTTTGAGTAAAAAGTAATGGGCAAGTGGCATTGTATTAATCATTTTTGAACTGACAGTTATTAAATTTCGCTCATCCGTACTTTGAGGCTAAGACAAATTCAATCAGTAACTATAGTATTCAGTATTCCATCAGTACTATTTTTGATTACATGATATTTGCAGATTTATAACTTGTTTAAATCATGTATTAATAAATAAATAATACAGGGTATAACAAAAACTGATTTACCTTCGAATCTGCACCTGGTTACTCAATGCCAGAACACCCAATTAAAATCAAGTTTAATGACATTTAAGCAATTTAAATTGTGAGTTTAATTCAAAACATGGCAATTCTTCATCGATCCAAATGGTTAGAAAAACATTTGAAAAGTTGCAAGATAAAGAATAAATCAACTACATCGGACTGGCCTAGAACCTAAGTCTAATTTCATAATTTTACTTTCAGCCCAAAAAATTACCGTTTCTTTTGTCCTTAAATTTTTTCCATATTGCCCCGGATTACTTAAATAACTATCAACAGGGCGCGCTTTATTTGTTTGACAATATTTCGATTCGATAGTTCTTGCGAGTGAAAGAAATATACTTCCTGACGTTTCGATGAGCTCAATGCAATAGCTTTTCACATTTTATCAAATATTACTTAAAGACAACTGATTTCTGAATTCTTATGTTTTTGTAAATTAAAATTTCCTTTTTGAACACAACCCAAAAATGTGGGGTGCATCTAATTCAATTATCAACCGAAACTCCACGTGATGACATCGAAGTTTCTAAAGTCTACAGTTATATTTTCGCAAGCCAAATGACTTTCAGCAGTTTTTTTTCGAAATTTTATAAGAAAAAGTTTTATACCGACCAAAATGTGTCTGGAAGAATATATAGAACAGTTTAGTTAAGACAAAAATTGGTGACACCTTTGACCAATTTGTGGTAGGCTTTAGGCATTTTGTCGATATGCGACTTTTTTTTAGTATCCATACATAGGAGTTCGGGGCATCACAACGGAATTGTCCAAGTGGGAACCTAACCTAACCTACCTATGACCAGCAGTGTATAAACCGGGTTTCTTTCCATCCACATGAAATTTTATATGATAATTAATTAATATTACAAGTTCATGCTTAAAGGCTCCACTTTACTAAGAATATGAAAAGATTTCATTATCTTCACAATTATTTCTATCTCAGTTATTTCTCAAAGAGGCATACTTTCCTCAAATTGCAGGTGTACGGTAGAGTTCGGTTGGTGTCAAGACATTAGACGAAGAAAGTGGGAAGGAATTCAGCTTACCTCTTTAAAGGTGGCATTCGGAATAGAATCTATCGCGAGCAAATATCTCTGTTTGAAAATTTATAATTATATTATTAGCTTCTCATTAAATTACATAACCTGCAAAGTTTAGAGTCTTCAAAAGTATTTTTCTGGTAATTTTTATATGTTTCAATATTTATTCCAATAAGCAGAGGACAAAAGTGTATTTAATGGGGTTATTTTATGTGACGGCCTGTTTTTTAGAGATTTTTAGGATTTTTAGGATTTTTCTTTCTTTGACCAGTAAATATATAGAGATTTAAGTTTATTATCATTTATTAACATATATTTCGGCAGCATATATATAAGTTTTAAGCTAAAAATGTTGTATAGAACATGAGTTACAGTGTTCTGAACACCCCCGCCTCAAAAAAAAAGGTTGACACTTCCGAAACAAAAAAAAAAAAATTTGGCGTTTTAATCTGTAAGCCATGAACTATTACCAATCGAATATACCAAAAATATTGTTATACGTTTTTTGCTTTGTTTTTTGCTATAAAAAAATAATAGTTCATTCCATGCGTTTACATGTGCTGAGTTTACCCTACAAATTTCAAGTCATTCGGTCAATCCGTTTTTGAGATACGATGGAGGAAAGTTTGAAAAATACTGTTCTAAGAAAAACGCGTTTAAAGTTTCAAGTCCGTTTAGAACATCACTAAACAGCTCCTTCTTCTAACTACTTTACTTCCGTATTTTAGACATGTTAGGAAAGCAATTTATGAAAAAAAGAAGAAATCAATTTTTTGAGATCATCACATTGCCCCCTTAAGAGAATCCTAGTTAGTAGCTACGGACAGCTTATTAGTTAGATTTAATGGCTATTAAAGGACTAAATGAAATTTTTTGGAAATACTTTGGTTCCATTCAATATGTGAACCAAATAGAGTTCCACGAACCACTTTTGATTGAATGACTTATAGGAAATACAGAAAATCTACTGCGCTATTTCTCTGCTCTAACTGTACACTTTGCACTTATCTTCAATCTCATAAGATCATGTACTCGTATGTCATATACGGCTTTAATTACTCCAAAAGAAGGTGCTTTAAAGATATTATAATGCAAATATTAGATTTCGTCAGACTTAAATTCGCGCACTGTCGTGAGATCTATTTCAATTCGATTGTAATCGTAAATTGATCATCGTCACCATTCTTTTCCTTCCTCCATCGGCATTTTAGGTCAATAATATGGAATAAAATAGAGTTAAGTAAAGTTATTTGGTATACCTATATTAAATTTTGAATATTTTATTTAAGATATTATTAAAAAAAAAATTAATATTTTTATTTTATATTTAATAATATTTCAAGGGTAAAATAAAACGCGATAATATCCTAACCCGACCGAGTTTACTTGACACTAAATCCCTTTGTTCCCTTTTTGACTGTGTTATCGTTGACATAATTACCTCAGGAGGAAAGGAGGAGACGTGCAGAAATGCACAACAAGGATCACAGATAAAATTGCGTTCTCGCAAATTTAGCGACTACAACAACTATAAGCGCGGTGGCGCGCTTTCATTGGTCGATGTTATTTCTCTTCTGCGAGTCACTCTTAACACAGTCGTATACAGAAGTACATTTCGTCGCTGTCCTATATAAGTTGCAAACAAGATCAACTGAATGTTGAATACGATTAATTGAAGGATCAAAGTGATGTCAGAATGTTGAATTTCTTTAGAAGAAGCTGATTCCTATGGCGATAACTTTCGATATCATCTAAAGAACAAATGTACGCAGCAGATAATATTTTTATAGAAAATATTTCAAAACGGAGCATCAGTTTGAGACTTCATCGGTATTTCATTACAATTCATCGATATTTTATACTAATTATTTTGGCATCCTTTTGCAGGTTCATACGATGACAAATTCAAATTGGCCAATTTGATTCGATTGTTCCTTCAAGGAAGAATTAAGCCAAAGCCAGAAACAGAACAAATGATTTTGCACGAGAATGAATTTTAAATTTTAATTTTTTTTTTAATATTTTTGTAAATTGTTTTCTACAACTTTCTTTAGATTTTGTTTACATTTAGTTCAATTTCTTCAATAAAATTTAAATACTATTAACATTGTTAATCAATTTTACTTTCTATTGGCGACCACTGGCGACACTAGTATTAAATAATTATGATATGGGCATACCTTAACATTTATATATAGATCTTATATGAATATCTCTGGCAGACAACCAAGCAGAAGTTTTATTTTTCAAATTCTTTACAAAATTCATAGCACTGACAGCACAACAGCCAATCTACAAAACAGAGTTTCATTAAACCATCCTTTCACCACATTAATTCAATTGCCTAGAACATTGTGCACCATTTGGTTTCCAAACCAGTTGATTGGATTCTTAGCCGAGCCTTAATTTCAGTCACCTTGCGGCACTTTATATTTATGTACATTCAAATCTGTACTAAAGCTAAATTCACTCGGCACATTACTCCTCGTATACATATGTATGTATATATAAATCTATGCACACATATACACATGTATTGTATGTATGAATGTTGTCTTGTTTGAAGCTAAAAGCAATTGTCTAAAACGAACTATTTTTATACCCTGAACAGGGTACATTAAGTTTGCCACGAAGTTTGTAGCACCCAGAACGAAAAGTCGGAGAGCCTATAATATATATAGTACATATGTAAATGATCAGCATGACGAGCTGAATCAATTTAGTCATCTTCGTCTTACTGTCCTTCCGTCCGTCTGTTTGTATATACGCGAACTAGTCCATCAGTTTTTTAAAATATCGGTCGGAAATTTTGCTCACGTTCTTTTCTTCCTAAGAGGCTGTCCATTTGTCGGAATCGAATTTGAGATATGTATGCATGCACATTTGTAACTGGCATAAATGCATTTAATATCAGGTTTTTTCTTATTATTGTTTGTTGATTTGTTTTGTTTTTGCATTTAGTTGTTCGCGAAGAGCGTTGTTGCAGATCAACAAATGTTATCAATAGCAAAATTGGGTGTGTTTTGTCTATTTATACATACGTAATGTATACGTAATATGTCGACCAGATTTATATAGCTTCTATCAATAGGGATGGCGTGATTTTATCATGTCACGTTTCGATTTGGATAGCACTCTCCGGTGGCTACTGTAAGAGCTCTTCGCGGACAACTTGGTCGTCATAATGCTTCTTCGAAACACGCTATTCAACACATAATAACAAAATTCGAAAGTTATTATAATCTGCACAACAGTGTGCCACCTTCTCGTCAAAAAAAACAAAAACCCGTTGTAAATTATCGCTTCTCGGTTCAACGTCATTCTGCCCAGACATCATTTTGACCCAATTTGAGTGTTTTATTTCATTTTAACATCACGTCATTCCTGTTGGTATACCCTTTATATATACATCAGTATATGTCTATTAAAGTGAGCCAATAAACTAATTTGTCAAATTTATGGATTAAAAAGAAACTGTATTCAGAGAAATATGCCTGACTTTTAGCTTAATTTTACTTCACTTTTTAAAGTTTTTAAAGATATATACCAACATTTTGAATTATGAAACATCATCCGTGAGGAGCATTTTTTAGGACGTTTTATGCTTCAAAGGAAACCTTGTTGTAAAATTTTTAAAAATTCCTTAAAAATTATGGTGTCAATAGAGAATTGGGTTTCGACACCTTTTAAAATTATGCCTAGCAGGGATATTTTTCTTAGGTTAGTTTTAACTCATAAATTTGATAGGATGATGCGAGCTAGCCATAACGTGTACTCGTATATACTGCGCGGAATCGGATCATTGCCGTGCCCCCTAATCGCCATTAATTGAAAACCTATCCTTAAGGAGGAGCATCAGCAGTTTTTTTAAAAAAAGTAATAAATAGGTATAATGTACATATCTCCTAAACTGCTAAAGCTACATATATTAACCAGATTCAATAAGAGCAAATATTTTTGGCATCCCTACCGACAGTGTACTTCGTAAAAAACTACTAAGAGTGCGATAAATCAATAAGTAAATGCGTCAGACACATACAACTTTGCACCCGAGATGATACAGGGGCTTTGTAGCTGTCAAAATTGCACGTTACAGTGCAAAAATGGACGAAATCGGACTACCACCACGCCTACTTATCATATGACACAATTTTTAATTCCATCTGATTATTTTAATTTCCATTATACAACTCAAGCACCAATAGATATATCGGATCAAAACTGTTCAAGTCCCCAGGCACCGAATATATGGACCCCAGTTCCTATTTCGAACTTTTTATCGACAATATCGATCAATCTCTAAGATATATTATAGATATTATTAATAATATGTCGGTGGACCAAAAATTGGTTAAAGCGAATCAATAATTCCCTTCGTCCCCATATACTTAATGAAATTTAAAGAGCGTGTTTTTTAATGACAATGTATCTTTCGGGAGAAAACTGGCCCTAGCCATATAACTAACCTCAGAAACCATCGGTTGACATTTTCTCGCTAATATTATTATGTTAGGTACCTTAATAAAACTCAGAGATCATATTTTTCTGTTAATAATATGAGGTAAGAGCAAAAATAGATAAAATGGGGTCAATATTACCTCTATCTCCCATGTACACAATATAAGATTTTCAAACTTCCGGTTGGCTTTATATCATATACAATATATTAGTCAATACGTAAGATATCTTGGCAAAATTAATTCGCACATAATAATATTGTACTATAGTTTAATGCGGAAAATATTGTATGTGCTATTTGTCTACGAACTACCCAAACCCCCATATACCACATATTATGATTTTCGTTATTCTAACAAACAAAACGCTGAATATGTCTGTCAGCGTAAGTGTAGAAAATATGTTTTTGAATATACTTTAACAATGTCAAAAGCTAGTGAAATCATCTTAGATCTTTACTGCCCCCTATATACCCTATATAACGCCTTACGACTTCCCAACTCTCTCTAATCCGTTTAGATAGGTCAAAATGTCTGATGTTTTAATAAATGTAAGTGGACACATTTTCTTAAAACTTATAAAATGATATTAATGGTTTGGTGCTCATTGTAAATGAAATTGGTCTTGGTCTAAACTTCATATCCATAATATAATTAATCCTCTGATCCTCTGGATGACGTTTTGCACATCAATTCATAATATAATAAAATATTTAATTTAGCATTTTCGGTTGAGTTTATGTCATACACATCTTATTTGAAAATGATTCTAATATAATTTTCGCCGACAGGAACTAAAATATAGTTATAAAACTACTTGTAATTGAATCTCTGACCAATAATATGAGTTAATAAGATACATATTTGATTGTAAACCATCCAGTTTCGTCGAACAGTGAATGTTGAATTCTTTTAGAAATTTTTGAAATATAACGTTTTACCAATGCCAGACTTGATTCTTACAAGTTGCACGAGTATGAAATATCCGGTTACACCTGAACTTAGCCGTTCCTTACTTGTTCAAGTTTACTTTAACTTTTATTCTCCAGCGAGACTTCTTGTATCCTGGTGCTTCAGGTCTTTGGATCATTTTCCATATCGTCGTTTTGTCAAAAAGTAGTTAAGACTAACTGCTATATAAATATTTTCGAAAATTACAACAAACGTAATTTTATTTTTTAGTACACTTGTTAATATACCAACCAGCAAACTACCAACGACGTACAATAACTCAAGAACGTTTCACTCGGTTGGTCTGTACCAAATCATGGTCATTGCGTCTAACTGACCGCCCATGGTTTAGGTACTCATTATACGGACGTATAGAAAAACTGAGCCAGACTAGTAACACAACACAATGCAAAGGTTTTGGAAGATGCATAGAAAGAGTAAGCAAAAACAAATAAGAAGGAAAGAAGAAAAAATGATATTCGTAAGATATAGCAGTTGATGAATAGAATATCAGCAGATAATGTGCAGTGCAGGCATAATTTTTACCGTTGCTCGATACTTTGACTTTGGAAGTGCAACATGTTGAAAGAAAATAAAAGCTGGCAACATCATTTTAGCTAACACGGTTATGAGGTAAAACCTGCAACCAACTTGTCAATACTACGCAGCTAATTAAAACAGACGAGTGAGTTTAGAACACATTATGTTAGACTCTTTGAAAGTGGCATATTTTTTTATATTTGGGACTATACGCACCCAGTAAATATTCCTCCAATGGTTCAAAGATAATGGGATTTAGCATGGTTCCTGACAAAACTCGCCTAGATGCGAACCACAAATAATCTTAATAAGTCAATTTAGTCTGGAACTAAACACATTTTATAAAAAACTTGATTTCAAGACTGGTAAATTGTCATTTTTGTGTGTGAAAAACGATTATTTATTTTAGAGTCGTTGCAACTCGACAGATTTAGATTTTAAAACTTTAAACGCATTTTTCTTCTTGCTTTTTCAATGCTCTTTACATGAAATTTAGCATGAATATTTTTTGAAAATTTTTCATACTTATATTTTCTAATTTGTAATATTTTTAAAAAATTCGAGAAAGTAAAAAGCTGCTCTGTTATGAATTTGTTTACCTGTCAGGTATATTAAGTTTGAAATGAAACTTATAACACCAAGAAGGAAACGTGGGAGACCCTATTAAGTGTATATGTACCATACATAAACGATCAGCATGGCGAGATATGTCGGTTTAGCCATGCCTGTCATTCCGTCCGTTTGTTTTGCACAGGATCTTTTGCCGAAAACTTGCTCATCGAAACCGTCGATAACTGCCCACTATTAGATATAGCTGCCATTCAAACTGGCCGATCAAAATCAAGTTCATGTATGTAAAACCATTTTTTTATCAAGATTTCTACACACAATTTGACCTAGATTATTATCCAAGGCAACGCTACTTTTCCAAATAAATTGTTCAGATCGGGCCACTATTTTTTTATGGAAGTATATAGTAGTTACCAATCAATGTTAGCTATGGACGGTTTCGTTTTCAAATTTAGTTATACATATTTGTTAGCGTAGAAATCGTGGTGACGAGGACACGGCCTTTTTTCCCTCTACTTCAAGGA